GTTGGCTTAAGAAATCATTAGTGCTATCTGTTTTTTATTTCATTACTTAACCTATACTTCCCTAAATAGGCTCTGTTGTTGTTGTTGTTGTTTTTTTGAAAGTTTAACTATGTTACTACCCAACACAGAGCATCATTCCTTCCACCTTCACCACCACCCCAAAATAACATTTGCTTTATCCGTAGAATGGTACCATCTTTAGCATGTCATTTTCCTCTCTACTCAATGAAGATTCTGAAGGAGAGTATGTCCAACGATCTTAATTATTTTCAGATCTTAGTTTCAGTGATCACAGGCCAAATTGTTACCTAAAATTTTGGACTAATTATGATGGTTGTATATTTTCAAATCTAATTTTAATCATACAGTTTGCAGCTTCAGAGTACCTAATAATGGATTACTATAATTCTTCATTTAGACTCTACATCATGACTGCCGCAGAGTTATTAAAAACATCTTAATAAGTTTCTGATTTATACCCACATGGGATTGGAAATTTTGCCTCATGTAAGTTTGAAATAAATTTGAAATTCTATAGTGTAGATTTATGAACAGCGGGTTGAGTCATTATTGTATTCTATCATTTTGAGAAGATTAATGCTATAATTTGTTCTTGCTTGTTTAATTTTTTTTTCTAAATCTCTCAAGTTTATCCCCATACTCTAAAAGGTTTCCAGGGATTAAACTTCTGTACCCATGAAATTATGTCACTCTTCTATTTTTTTAGTGTTTTCCTATTTAATGCTACCTCTTCCATCTCTGTATTTTTAAATCCTAGAAGAAATGTGCTATGCACATGTTTTGACATGGGCATGCTAACCAAGTCATTTGCTTTTCACATGCTTTCATATTTATTTTGTTATGAGTAAAATAAATTTGTAAATCTCCTTTAATGTTCTTTCTCAAATGAATTATTTCCTTTTGTTTATGGTCCAATAGGGCTTAGTGAGCTAATTTTATTCCCTATTGTTTGTGAATTTGATTGCAACTTTTAGCTAATTTCCCCAAATTAGTAAGCAAGAAATAACTATTTCCCTAGATAGTGAATTCAGCTCTATATAAATGTGTTAAATGCATGTTGTACTTGGTTAATCAAATTAAGTTCATTCTTGACTGATCATATGCACGTACCCTTTATATGTACATTTCTTTCAATAAGTATGAGGTATGAAACAGCTCAGAAGTTCATAGCTATCATGATGATTATAGGATTATCCCAGGTTATCCAGGGTCTGACCTGGGACAATGGCCAAATACCAGGTTTACCTGTTGGAACAGTGGGAACATGAACTTTTATAATCTCCCTTGTCATAAGCAGATCATGGCCCGTAACTGATGCCAGTAACCTCTGCAGTTATGCAAGACAGATTAGAGTATTCCTCTCCCAGTGACTGTTAGTGTCTGATGAGGAGCCTTATGCCCCACCACCCCATCCCACCCAGTGACTGATGGAACAATAGCTGGGAGTTGTTCCTCTAATCTGCTGCCCAATCCATCTGAAACCTTGCATTAGGAGGACTGCAGAGACATTGGACCAGATCCTGCCTGTGCAATCTCTTCCTTTTAATGGATTCTATCATTCTCTGTGATTCACAGATGAATTGAGGGAGATTAAATAAAAAAAAAAATGTCTAGCACACAATGACAGAAGAACCTGAGTGAATAGAGTTAGAACTATTTTAAAGGCCTACCTCATGGGCAATGCTTCTCCAACCTTATTACATCTGCAGATAGCTGCCCCACATATACCTAATGGTCAGAAGGAACTTTGAGATCCTCTTATAGGATTCTGTGGAGGAAATTTCTTAGCATCTGTCAAAGCCACCTAAATTCTTAAGCAGGTACAGATGACAAGGCAGGACAAATTTCGGCCTTGCCATCTGGCATTGGTTTGAACTTGTTGTCCCTATCCACAGGTAGTGGATAGAGTTCTTAGTACTTTGAGCTCAGCTTTTCCACACCCTCATGGTTACTTAAAGCTGGTTGAGTGGTGAGGTAGGAAAATTCTCACCTCCCAACTGGAAAGTTGAGAGTTCAAGAGGCAGATGTTACTCTCTTAGGGTGCAAGGAAAAAATATCTGCTGCAACCTCTGTGTGGCATCAGGAAAGGCAACCGGCCAGTAAATGCTCAGTTTCATCCAGTCATCACAACCCTACCCCAAATTAAGGGATTACAGGGTTGCAAAAAGGGAGGGTTTTTTTATGGTTGGTTAAAGCTGGTTGGGGGGGAAGGTTCATGTGGGTGGATTCTAGAGATGGTGAATTCTTCTTTGAGTGAGGAAATTGTTCCTCTGCTTTTTGGTTCACCTCCCTCCTCAGGAAACAATCATTGGATCTTACCATATTGGGCAATATTAATCAACTATTCAGCTCCCTTTCTGGACGTAGGTATTTGATAAAGTATTCATGTAGCAGATTCAGAGAGCTCTGGATGAAGTGGATTATCCAGATCTCTTTCAGTTAGGATTCAGCCCTGAATGTGAGATGAAAATGGCATTAGTTGCACTTTTAGATGATCTCTGGTAGGAGCAGGATGGAGATTGTGCATCCATCTCTGCATTTCTTAACCTCTTAGTAGCCTTTGATACCAATGACCATGATATCCTTTTGGACTAGCTCTGGGGATTAGGGATGGAGTGTAGTGTATTGTACTGGCTCTCTTCCTTTCTCTGGCATCAGCTGCCTTTGGTGGTAACTGAAAAGGACAGAGAATCCACTCTTGCCCCCTACTTGGTGAGTTTTGCAGAGGTCAGTGCTTTCTACCTTCCTTTTTACATCTTCATGAATTATTTGAGAGAGATCACCTTCACTCAATTATATCTGCCCATCCTAGTAAGCCCAACAGATTTGGTGTGCTGCAGGTCCCATCCACTAAAGAAGTTAATCTGGGAGGACCAAGAAGACATCTTTTCTGTTATGGCAGCTCCCCCTCCCCCCATGCCCCCACTATAGGACATCATTCCTCCTGAGGAGAACTGGTTCCATCCCCAATATACTTCAGGAAGTTTCTTAAAATATGGTTTTGTGTGGTTGTATCAATAGGCTTGGGCATCTCAAGGTGGTGATGAATTCATGATATGGCTTTATTTATCATTACAATAACTCTCTCTGCTATTCCATTATTAATAACTTTGTGTTTTAACTTAGTTTTTATTATTCTCTTTTTTATTGTATGCCACCCAGAGTCATAAATCTGTGAGATATGTGGCTATGTAAATATGTTACAGTATAAAAATAAAATACCTGTGTTCATATGTAGCAAAAACTAGGGGTCCCTTTTGCTATATTCTTTTCCCAGTAGAAAGTCATAGTGTGCCATATATTACTTTTAGCCTTTCTCTAAATTCATTCTGTTTATGGAGGTAGGATGATTTTAAAGGAGACCCAATGAGGGCAGTACTCCTTCATTTTGTTCGGAATTTGCGGGGGAATGTGTGGATTTTATGGTTGTATTCAAACACAGACTAGATGTGATTGGGATGTTTCATTTGAATTTCTGCACTGAACAGGACTTAGTCAGACTGAATTGAATACAGAAGCCTAAGTAGCCGCTCCTGATTTTTTGAATTTAGGATTCTGTTTTTTCAATTTCTGCCCTCTGCCCTCAATTTCACTTCTATTATTAACTGGCAGATGGTTTTTTCCTTCCTCCATTTTTTCTTTTTCCAAAGAGTAAAGAGGCTGTTTAAAATATTGGCTGGTTTGTTTGTTTTTGAGACAACACCATATACCAAGCATTGGCCCCATTACCAATCAAAATAAGGTGATCTCCTGTCTCCATCAAATATCTCCCTCTCCCCCCACCTTTTTTAAAGAGAGAAATAACTCCTGAAATCACCTGGTTTGCATCTGGCAAATGTAGTAAAATGAATCACTATGTTCAGTAGTTCTATGACTCATACATTTGGTAGCATGTCAGAAAACTATAACAAGTTTGCTAATATCACTTTTCCTGACACATATACATTCAAGTAAAGTAGTCAGAATCATTGACAATAGCTAATACTTACTAAAAGCTTACTCAACTCACATGTTTTATGATGAAAAAACAGTGACACTTGTGTAATATCCATTTTTCAGGGCCTTAAGAACTAGGCCTGTGCAAAGTAGGTGAAGGATGGTTTGAGAAGTATATTTTTTTTGGCCTAAAGCAGCCACACCCTTTGAAAGGTTCCAAATGATATTACAGAGCTATCACAAGTAGCTTCTGCAAGTTCAGTTGCTAGGTTGCCTCATATGCATAGGCAACTTCTTTGCTTTCAGTGCTTTGTGCAGCTGTATTAAGAACTGTAAATGGAACTCAACTGATATTTTGCTCTATATTTTTATTGTTGTTGTTATCAGGATAGGCCACTTTCTTTCTTGAAAATGATGAACTTTGAGGATTCCCAGAACTTAATGTTTGATCTATCATTATCTTTCCATGGCTTTAAGAAAGTAACTGAAAAAAGCCATTAAAACCAAATAAAATGGTATATAAAAACTATAAAAAGTATACTCACCTAAAACCATTAATGTTTCTGCGATACATTTTTTGGGGGGAAAAACCACCTTTATCATTGGATTCTTCACCTCTGGCCATTTATTATATTCATATCAGTTCCAAGGAGTCAGCTTTGCAAAGTGAGATGGGTAGCATATAAATAAATAGGAGCCTGGTGGAGCAGTGGACTAAAGCGCTGTTAAATAGCACTTAGCTGCCAGCTGCCTGCAATTACTGCAAGTTCGAATCTCACCAGGCTCAAGGTTGACTCAGCCTTCCATCCTTCCGAGGTAGGTAAAATGAGGACCCGGATTGTGGGGGCAATAAGCTGACTTTGTATAAAAAAGAACACCGCTTGGGCGGGCCAAAAGCCCTACTAAGCAGGTATATACAAAAGTATGAAGGCTATTGCTTAACCCATTGTAAGCCGCCCTGAGTCTCCGGAGAAGGGCGGCATATAAATTGAACCAATAAATAAATAAATAAAATAAATAGGAAAATAGAATGATGTACTTACAGTGCCGCCCTCTTGGAATGAAGGAAGGGGAGGAATCTTTCATCACCCAGGACAAGTTCCAGGCAGTGAAATCCAAAGAATGTGGGGGACTGTTTGTTGGCGATTCTGGAATGCTGATATCTGCCAGTAAAACCAGAAGATTGTGATGCAAAAAATAATATAGGGAAAGGTTGTTTCAGCTTTATGGATGTAAATATACCTCACGGATTAAGCATCTACCTAAAGTAACTATTAATATTGATTAATTGACATTATTCAGTAGTTTAATCCAAAATTTCTTATATACAGTTGTGTAACACAGTTTCTATTCTACTTGTTTGAACAAATTATTCATGTGAACAGCATTAAGGATAAGCAGTGAAGTCATAGCACCGATAAAAACATTCAACTGATCATCAGCATGTGCATATATAAGCAAAAAATCTTCAGCATATTGAGTGATAGCTATTAATTACCTAATCCTAATTTTCCTATGCATTCAAAGTTCTTAAGAAGATATAGATGTGGTCGCCAGAAATGAACAGGTAGCAGGCATAGTGATTGTAGTCCATTTACTGGTTCAATCCACAAATATATGAAAGGTTTGAAAAAAAACAACCAAGTTTTTTTTAAAGTCACTGCTCTTAAAGATAAATGAAAAAACCCTTCAAAACTAGAAGCACTACCATCTAATGACTTCATGATACAATCATCTCAGTAAATTGGAATAAGGACTGAAATGCCTTTTTTCTTTCCTGTTTTTGTGTCCTATTCACAAGCATTATTCTGAATAAGATTAATTTCCTTCAGCTTTTCAACCGACTGAAGACTATCTATATAAACAGACCAAATAGGAAAATTGACTTATTGTCCTTTATAACAGGAACACATAGCTAAGCCTGATTGGCTACACAGCTTTCTTATATGATAATATTAATTGTAAGCATTTTAGATGGACTCCTATACACACATCAAAGCTGTGGAAAGGCAGAAAATGTAGCAATCACGTTTCTGTAGTTGGCCTCAGTGGAAATGCCTATATATTGTATATGGCATGGTGATTGAATATACCTGATTTGACTCTACAAGATCAATATGCTATATCATTATGAATGCAGAGTCATAAACACCTTAAATGGACCAAAAAAGTCATTGACTTCATTCACTAATCAAACATTTTTAGGACTGCCAACATCAGTAGAATTAAATAGCTGTTTTTGTTTCTTTGTTTCATTGGGGTTTTTTTTCACATGGTTTATTTGAAACCCATTTTTAATCACTGCATCATGCTTTCTTGCTGGTAAAAAGATCCCTTTCATTTCCCTTGTTTGTGCTGAGCTATAATCTTGAGTTCTTAGGATGCCTTTCCACAGACTTCCTAGAACTACACTAATGGATTTTTGGCTCAGTTCTAGTATAAAAGGAAATGCAGTGAAGTTAATCCGGCAGCACTTTGCTGGAGTTGCATGGAAGGCATCTTCCCCTTTGCTGAGAAATCTTGCTTCATTATCAAACTGAGCAGGGGGTTGATTTCTTAATGTCCTGCCCAGTGGTGAAATTCAATTTTTTTTACTACCAGTTCTGTGGGCGTGGCTTGGTGGACGTAGCAGGGGTAGGATACTGCAAAATCTCCATTCCCACCCCACTCCAGAAGAAGGATACTGCAAAATCCCCATTCCCTCCCCATTCCTGGGGAAAGGATATTGCAAAATCTCCATTCCCACCCTACTCTAGGGCCAGCCAGAAGTGGCATTTGCCAGTTCTCTGATTTATTCAAAATTTTCGCTACCTGTTCTCCGAACTACTCAAAATTTCCGCTACCAGTTCTTCAGAACCTGTCACAACCTGCTGGATTTCACCCCTGGTCCTGCCCCCAGTAATCTTTATTTTTATTTTAAATAATTCAAAATAAAGGCAGTAAGGTAACAATTAGAATGGGGGCAGAGGACTGGCTGGCTGATTTGTGTACTGCCCAATTGTTCAGTTAAAGGACATGCTGATTGACTGAGTATTAAATGTTGTGTGAATGGACATAGAGAAGACACTTCCATCAGAGCATGTTCTGAGGGTGGTAGAAGTGCCCTTAGTCTAATTAAACTCAGTTAAGAATAATATTCTAATTAAATATTAAATCAATTAGCATATTATGTAGTTTGAGTCTTAGTGTTGATATACTGCAGTAATGTTTTCACTATATATTTTGACAGAATATATTGATTATATATTACAAACTTTGTTCTCAAGCACCGTTTAAGCATTAGCATTGCAGACAATGCAAATCATCTTATTCATTTTAATCTGATAAAAATTGAAATCTATAAAATACTAAAATGCCAGTTTCATGCCAGTGTAGAGTATGAGATGGATGCAACAATTAATCTTGCATGCATATAGAAACATTTGTTCAGATATTCAGCGACAAATAAAATTCTCAGTAGGAAACTTTCATTCATACCAATTAATGAAATATACAAAACCCAGATATAATTCGAATATATTAAACTATGTCAGCATAGTTAATAGATATAAATATGCATCAATCTGGAGAATGCAATATAACTGCCAGTATCAGAAATAATATTCTTGCTCTCCACATACACATTCAGGAATATAGAGCACAAAATATAAGTTACTTTTAATGGAGTTTACAAAACTGTGAGCAGTATCTCTGTAGCTGAAATTGTACCTTCAAGGAATAAAATTTGACTTCAGAACATTTCTTACTTCTTGCTTACTTGTTATTCTTTGAGATCTGGCACATAAAGCAGATTTCTTCATACTGTAGTGCATTTCAGTGCCTTACATTTGCCATACAAGCCTTTAGGGAATACCTCAGCTTGGTGTCTCCCAGCTATGTAGAGACTACAACTCTACAAATGATTAGGTTATATACTCCCAAAAGAGCTGAAGAACACCAAGTTAAGAAAAAGCAGATTATCCTTTGACAATGCTCTCTCATTGGTTGTAGAATCTGTATTCATCTGCTCAATATTTGTTTGTTTGTTTATCCCAGGTAACCCAATAGCATTTGGTGAATTTGAGCAACTTTATTGAATGGAAGTGGCCAGATGGAAGACTTTTATGTCATTTCGTCCACAAAAGAGAGTTAGTTACTTTAAATAAAACTGTTAAACAATAGTCTGCTGACACAGTGAGGAAAAAATGAACAAGTTTTGCCGTCCTTATTATCACAATGTAGGCCCAACCATTGTTGCATTTGCTTCTGATCACCCATGATGACGTCATGGCGGGTGGGCAGAGCTTCCTGCCGGTTTTACTACCCATTCTATAGAACTGGACCGAACCGGGAGCAACTCACCACTGCCTCAGACATAAGAGACTGCTTAGGACATGATTTACAACTGGGATGGCATGCCTTCTTATGGTATGAGAAGAATAAAATTTACAGATACTTTCAAAATCACTACATAAGAAACTCACTATTATCTGTATAGGAAAAAATAAAAGCTAAGATCTATTTGAGAATCCCAGAATGGCTCTCAGTGATGGAAGCATTTACATATCCAAATCTGGTGAAGTTTGAAAAAATTGTGACATATAAAGACATTTTGGACACTGAAGGGAGATTAAAATCTAAGCAAGAGCTTGAAGACCAGGGTATTAAATTATCATGGTAGCCTCAATTGTAAATACAATCTAAATATGATAAAGACATGAAAATGTACAGCTTTTATAAAGGACAAACAGCCTTTGATCAGATATTGTTGAATTCTGATGAAAAACTAATTAAGAAAATGTATAATTTCTTACTAATTTGGAAAATGGAGGATGAACAAGTAAAAGACACAATGATACAGTGGGCAAAAAACTTTGGATATAATGTAGAATTAGAGAAATGGCAAAACTTATGGGAAAGAAACTATAAATTAACAATGGCAACCTCTTTAAAGAAAACTTATATAAAATGTTTTATAGATGGCACTTACCACCTGCTAGGTTAGCTAAAATGTTTAAAAATATGTCTAGCAAATGTTGGAAATGTAACCAAAAAATGGGCACATATTACCATGTGATGGACCTGTGTTAAAGCAAACAAATTTTGGGCAAAAATACATACCATATTTTTTGGAGTATAAGACGCACCTACCTTTTTTGTTTTGTTTTTTTTATAAAAAGTTTATTTTTTATTTTTTAGACAAACACACATACAAACATACAATGTATTTTCTTTGAACAGAGTATTTGGCTGGTTCACAAATTTAAACAGTGTTTAGTCATTTCAATTAAATTTACAATTTCTATATTTCCTTTTTGCCATATTTATTCCTCATCTGTTTTTTAAAAACATCAATATTATTTATTTATTTTCCTTATACTTATATGCCGCCCTTCTCCTTATACTATCCTTCATCCTCATCTCTAATCTTAATCAAATTCAATTTTTCCCTTCTATTCTATATTATACCCCTTCCCATTGTCATCTATTTTTATATCCATCCTCACATTGGTTAATTATGTAATATTACAGTTGTTTAATACAAATTCAACATTTTAATATAAATCAATTAGTTATATTAATATTAATATATAGTTAATATTTTGTATATTAATCAATATGAACATGAATATTCCAATCATTTCCATGCAATCCAATTCTTGATGAATGCTTTTTTTCCTTTTATGTACCCTGAGAGTACATAATATGCACCAAAGACAAATTCCTTGTGTGTCCAATCACACTTGGCCAATAAAGAATTCTATTCTATTCTATTCTATTCTATTCTATTCTATTCTATTCTATTCTATTCTGTTCTGTTCTGTTCTGTTCTGTTCTGTTCTGTTCTGTTCTGTTCTACTCTACTCTACTCTACTCTACTCTACTTTACTCTACTCCCTATTCCCTATTCCCTATTCCTTTCTATTCTTATTACCAGTGGGTGGAAAAAAGGGGTGGAGATTAAGAATGTAATCTGTACTGCTAAGCAAATAAAGTAACCCAGACAACATGATGTTTATTAAGCACTAAAAAACTTAAACAATAGAAAATTAATAAATAAATTTTATAAAAAAGTAAAGTGCATATGTGGGTGGAGAAAGGCTAAATTCTAAAAAGCCTACTTTATGGCCCACGTGAGATTGCATATAAGATACTTCTTCAGACTTATGTCTTCAGAGCTCCT